AGCCTGTGGTAACATAGAAACTCAAAAGTTGTTTAGTTTGTCCACTCTGGACTAATGCAAAAAAAACATGGTGGCTTCTGTGGAGAGGACCCCCTTGATCTAAATATAAAATATTTAAATATAAAGGGCCTTTTCTGGGCTAAAATTTCTGTCAGTAGTTCCCTTTCATCTAAATCTTACACACTGGACCTTTAAGATATGTTTTCGCCTCAATTCAAGATACTATAAATAAAATTTGAACCAGTCACTAGTTCAACAGACAAGTGAATTCATGTTTGTATTGACAAAAAGTCTGGCAACCTCCTCCAGCAAGTTGTTTTTGTGCTTTAGAACATAAGCGGTTCGGAAAAATCTTTGTTTCACTGTTTTGTGTTCACTATAGGCACACACTCTCGTGTTTAGCCTACAGGTCTCTCAAACATTGAGCTGGGAAAGCAACAGTTTATTGAATGGACTGAGTGAAAAAGTCAGCGGAGTGACTCTTTTCACACTTTGAGGGTGCCTACTGACCCCTTTCAAGTAATTAGGGTTAGTAAAACCCCAGAAAACCTTTTTTTACACAATATGGGCCCTTTAATTTAAGAATTGCACTGCTGACTTGATTGGTCTCTTCTTGTCCAACACCTTTCATTGTACTGTTGACCCTGTGTTAACTTGAATAAGACAAATAAAATCTGAAATCTTAAACTTGAAATGTTGCAAAAGTTCATCCCTGAACACATAAATAGGAACTCAGCAGGTAATTATAAAGATAAGTTCTATGTGTGAGTAATTAGAAAAGCGCAGAGAGAGAGAATTGCTTGTTGAACTGTGCTGAGTAATGCACCTCAATGTAGTGGCGCTGCCAAGAGGGGGCCAGCAGGGCCGCCCGGATAGAGGTTATAATCAGAGGTTTTCATCACACAAGCCGTAGTCCATTGATGTGGAGAGCGTCAAAAAATGTAAATTATTACTGTATCTTGGCGATTTGGTCGATACTATCCAGCATCAACCAAAGTCAGCATGCCTCCAACATGCAGACACAGCAAGAACAGCATTTTTTGTGTGTTATAAAAACATGGCTGAAGGAGACAGGTATGGACTGTAACAGCGCAAAACTGTTTAATAATCTCTGCCCATAGCTTACAAGTACTAACATCCAATGTTGCCAAATTGCGTGTGTTAAACAAATGCTGACATTTTGTCCCGACCTTTGGGGTCAACTGCACTTAAAGTAACAAGTTGAAGAACTTCGATAAATAATGAAAGTACTATAATCGTTTTTGTTAATTGTAAATATAATGTCAATAAAAAAACTTACTATAGTTTTTTTCCCTGTATTTTTTCAACATTTACTGGACATTTTATCAATACCGCGATAATACTGATAAACGTCATAATTTTGGTTACCATAATAATAAGCTTCTGGGGAATTATGTTATACCCACAGATTGAGGCTAAATTGATTTTCAACATAGTTAACCTTTAGGACACCTTGGGGACATGTTTGGCTATTTTCAGTTTTTATTTTTCAATAATTTGGTGGTGGTATTGCATATGACACGAAATTCCCAAAGGTGTGTACATTTTGTGGAATTGTAATAAATTCAACCTCCTTTCCCATGCTAAGTCTTTTTTTCACTCTGTAATGAAAATACTTCCTTTTGGCACCTTCGAACCAAAAATGTCCCCATTGAATCCCACCGAAACTGCTTTTTCTATCCCATTGCCATTTCCAAAAAATAAAATCTGCAAATCAAACTTTTTACCAGAGTAAGCTTATAATGTCATCAAACTCTCCAGAAAGTTTGTTCTTTGGGTTTTAAGATATCATTATTTATCTGAAGTGGCATCACACCACTTTTTCTCTCCAATCTTGTTGAACAACAGTTAGTTAGTAGTGAATGGTCAGGTACACACAAAATACTTCACTTCTTTGTTTATGTGCTCCCAGGCCACTAGTTTAGAGAAATACAACATGTGGCATCATCAATTTGAAACAAAATAATTCAGGTTAGTGCAATCATTCACATGGTAATGTACCTCTAATAAACAGTGACCTATCATAATTTCTTCTCCCTCTGTGTGATGCAGCGAGCATGTATGTTTGTCCACATATAGATAA